AAAAAAAACAAGTGTACCCAATTTTAATTGCTATCTTCATGCAACATAAGAGCCATGTCGGTGGAAGAGGAACAACTGAGTTGCTCTGTTGTGTAGAAAAACTTTTCATTACATTGTACTGTATGCAATTTATATATTGATTCATATATAAGTAAATAGTTATACTACTTATTGTTACTAATGATCAACTTTATAAAATGTGGTATGTTCAATATTTAACTTATAAGTTCAAAATATATTCTCCATAAATATAATTTTAATTTTTTATTTGTGTATGTTAATGATTAATTGAAAATAAATAGTATTTTCACCTAAGAGCTAAAACTAAATGAGAAATGTTATATGTACATAATATTGTACATATGAGCGTACATAACACTCACATTGAGTGAAACCACTAAAAATAAAAAATTAAGTGAATCTCACTCCATGTGAATGTTATGTACACTTTTATGTACATTTATTATGTACTTGTAGCATTTTCCAATTAAATTAGAAAAATGCTACGAGTACATAATAAATGTACATGGAGGTGTACATAATACTCAAATGGAATGGGGTCCACTTGATTTTTTATTGGGAAATGTTATATGTACATAATATTGTACATAGGAGTGTACATAATACTCACTTGAGTGATACCTACCAAAAGTAAAAAATCAAATGGACCTCACTCTATATGAGTGTTATGCACACATCTATGTACATTTATTATGTACATGTAGCATTTTTCTTTTTTATTTTGGTGGGTCCCACTCAATGTGAGTGTTATGTACACCTTTATGTACGTTTATTATGTACTTGTAGCATTTTTCAGTTAAATTATCTAATGATTTAATTCCTCATTTATTGTGAAACATCCATTATGTCAAGATTCTGTCATTGTTTCATACACCATCTTTAAGAAAAATACATAACTAACCCAGTTATGAAAAAGAATTCCATAAAAATGCTTAAATATATTGAATTTCACAAATACTTCCACAAGGAGTCAAAAATACTCCAACAAGGAGTTACAGTAATTCAAAATTATAACTGCCATCTTTCTCTCTCTTTCTTCCCATCCCACACTTCTCGTCAACGTTTTCTCTCTTCTTCAATTATCTTCTTCTTCTTCAGTTCTTCTTGTTTTCTTTTCCAAACATGAATGACTAAAGAAATAAAACAACAAAAAAAAATTAATCAATTGGTTATGTAAATAATAATTAAATCAGATTAAAAGAATAAAAAAATTAAAAAACAAATACACATAAAAAAACAATAATAACACATAAAAAATTATAATAATTAAAGTGCCCAAACAAGTTGGTAGACACAAACCAGCCAAAAACAATATAATATTATCAAGCAACATAAAAATAACCTAAAAGCAACTCAAAAATAGCGTAAAAACAACATAAAAACGGGGGCCCACAAACTCGGTAACCTGTTCTCCATAAATAAAATTACCAACATATTCCCATAAAACAAACAATTCGCCTCATACTAAGAACTCCAAATGAAATGAACATATACGAAAAATCATACTTCAAAAACTAATCAACAAGGAAATCTCGAGTTTCTTCAGAAATCGACGAAACATAGGGTTCAATCGGCTCCACGAAATTTAAATCGAAACTTGAAGCAATATTTATCGAACTCGAATCCTTACATTTCTTCCAAAAATCGGAAATCAAAAGTCTGCACGAGCGATGGATTTTCTATAAATTTTACCTTATCTGGCTGTTTGTTCGACAGAAGAAGAGGAGAGAAAGAAAAAAAAAAAGAGAGAGAAGAAAAAACGTAATAGCTAGGAGAGAGATAGAAAAAAGTGAGACTGTTCGTATGGAGAGAGGAATGAGAGAAGATAATAAAAAAAAATGGAAGAGATATACGAAAGAGAGAGAAACAAGTGGAAACAGTTAAGAAAAGTAAAAATAATAAAAAAGAAATAGAAAATCGATTGCAATTGCTAGTTGTTCGAAAAGGAGTAAAACTGAATAAAAAAAAAAAATTAAATTTGCCTTAATAATATACGGGAATATTAGTATAAATATTTTTTTTTAAGAGAGATAAGGGATGTCATTCGTTCCACCATCTTTAGTTCATTTCGTACGGGCTTGAAATACCTAAACAATGAGTAACGAGTTCAATTCAGTCAATCTTGCTCTATGCAAGTTTGCCTAAGTTGTGAACATAACAAAAAATAATAATAATATAATAATAATAATAATAATAATAATAATAATAATAATAATAATAAATAAAATAAAATAGGTTTAGTTAATAATAGTAATTTAGTTAATAATAATAATAATAATAATAATAATAATAATAATAATAATAATAATAATAATAATAATAATAATAATAATAATAACTGTTTGGTACATCTTACAAAACTTGCAACATTTCCAGCTGAGCTGGAATAAAACCTGATCTTCTTGAGTACCAACCAACTAATCGAACATAATTGGCATCATATTGAACATTCGAAATACAAAAGTACATTAAGTTGATAAACGAACTTAAACAATAACGTAAACAACTCGTTATCAAATCAGGCATCCTGTAGAGAATTTGGTTCATTTTAATCCATACTTTAAGAAATAGATCGACACACGACTTTCGAGGCAGGAATTTCACCGATTTTAGCTCGATTTAACATCTCTTGGAGGAGGAGGAGCAAGAGATACAGAGCTAGTCAGCCTTCTAAACCTCTGCTGGACTTTTTGCATGACTTTAGGTGCTTTTGTTCTTGCTATGTAAAAGCCAATGGAATCTAAGTACCATCCACATTTGCCTTTGAAGCCCACAATTTGCCCCCCTTCCATTGGGAAATAGAATGGCGTCCCTTCTTCTACTCCGTAAGGCCCAAATGTTCTCCGGTTGCTCTTGAACGTAATGGATCGGATAACTGGGCTGCCACCATGAACCACCGGGCAATAGTGGCCCGTCACGGTCGTCAAGAACTCCTCTGGAAACTGCACCTTGATCTATGGCCCAATGTAAGATGCCCGGTTAAAATGGCGATTGCAAGCCTTGTTGCTATTGACAAGATTAATTAAAAAAAAAAAAAAATCTCTCATAGTAACATTTATCTTGCATAGAAAAGTTTGTGAGTTAATTTACCTCAACAGTTTTTGTGCCACCAACGCCTCCATGCTTGGGCCCCGAAAATGGCTTCCCATTCTTGTCGTAAACGATGCAAACTGAGTCAATACAACGGTCGTATTTTAGTTTGATTTCTCGAACCCCACTCTGAGGCCCATCATCCCAGTTAATCCCTCCATGGCCTCCCCATGGCCCAACAACTAATGCCCTTTTCTCATCTGTCTTATCCTTCTTGCTTTCCTAAAATGATCATTCAAGAAACTTATGTAAAGCCCAGCCCGCAAAATAGGACTTCGGTTATATTTTACTGGCACGTAAAATTGGGCTTTGGGAGATGAGGGTTCAGTGTTTTTCTATTCTAAACCAGTGACGAAGTTGATATACAATTTGACTAGTCGATTGTTTTTAAGTAAAACACATCGATGAAATCTAAAAGAATACATGTGCTTGAAATAGTATCATCAAATTATTTGATATGAAAATAAGAATTGCATACCATGATAGCCAGGGGTAGCTGCACGAACGGTGCTGGCGGCAACAAACTTACGGAGAATGCTGCAATGATGGACAAACTCTATATTTATAATTATGCCATAGGGAAATTTAGTTGAAACATAATCAAGAATAATATTTTTGCCTTTTGCTTGGTATCAGATTCATCACGATAGCACTTCTCAAGAATAAATATATATTCTTTTCTCATTTGAGCACCAAGTAAACCAACATCACCTCAGATTCATAGAAAATAAATAAATAAATAAATAAATTGCATGAACCAAAACTTATACATCACTTGTGCTAGCCTGCACACAAATTGCAGCCATTGATGCATGGTAACATATTAGTAGCAGCAATAAGGAATAATAAAATATGAGCCTTCTTTTTTTCTCATTTAGCAACATAGTTGGAATCTTGTGCTTAAGTGATCAGATGAGCATCTATTGTGCCACAACACTAAGATGTGAAAATGCAAGTTTATATTCCTTTTTGTGTTTACCGTTTGAAAAAAAGAAAATGACATTTTGTAATATTTTATTATTTAATTAAAACTACGGTAGAGATTATTTTTATTCAATTTTTAAGACATAAAAAGACCAGAACAGCAAAACACCTCAGGAAAGTTTCAGACAAAATAGCTAAACACCCAGGAAAAAGACCAACATAAAAAACACAACACTGTATAGTTTTTCCGGTTCAACCGTAATTTGTTTGCAGGAGGGTCACAAGGCATATGGACACTGGATTTATGAATCAGTTTTGAACTTAAGAGTCTAAAATGTTTATGTTCCAAAGCTCTGCTTCAGGTTTATTCTAGAAAAGAAAATGCAGCTAACACTTATTTCTCAATATACAAATAAATCCTTGAAATTTGGCTCTTTTACAAACTGCACCATCGAGATAAGGACATTAGTTATAAATAAATGCAAACCCCAACGGGTTTGCTCACATGCTTGTAACACTGTAAGTGAATAATTGTATATTTACGGTAAAAGGAGGATTTTGTAATTATCACAAGTTTAAATTTCTGTCCTCAATAACATAGATGATATTTCTGAGATTTTCCTTTTTTCTTTCTTCATAACTTATCTTGACACACCACGCACCAAACGACAAAAAAAATGTACTAATTGCCTCGTCGCTGTAATAACCACTGGACTACCACGCTTCTCGGACAGAGAGAGGGCGTACCTTATCATACACGCTTGTCTTCCTCTCGACTATCTGATCATCCTTCTTGCTTTGCTACAAATATCAAATCATACATTCACATGGTACCAAAAACAGACGAAATGTTGTTTCTTGGTCAAGTTTCCAACTGGGTTCAGAATTACATTTACATACCATGTAAGAAAGAAGGGCAGTGAGTGGATATGTCAATATCAAATGTTTATGATGTTGTGATTATTCTCAAGGATAATGCAGAAGATTTTTTTTCTGCCGCATTGCATCTGATTCCATTTAAATTCGAGCACATACCCCCGATCTAATACGCACGATCAGCTAAGGTATCTGATGCATGCATACGATCAATCGTTTCTTTGCCTAACTATATTTAGCGAATCATTCCATAAATAAATGTCAAAACATTCAACATGACCAGCACAACTTGGTGCTACAAAGATTACAACTGCCTTCAAAAATGTAATAACCACAAGTATGATGTCATCTTCACAAGGCAATCATTCAATATGGTTAAAAAAAATGAAGTACAATACAGAATATATAGAAACTCTCACGTTTTGCTTAATACAAACAAAATAAAAGCTTTCCCCTGTTCTGTGTAATTTCATGATAGAAAATTGGTTACACCTCATAGAATCCATTTCAGTTTAAAAACGACATAAAACATGACGAAACCTATAGTGACAATCTCATCCTAATGACTCCAATGTCAAGATTTCCAAGTGCAAGTCATAATAAACCTTGTGCCTGTTCGAAAGTAAGAATCTTAAGTAAAACCAGCAAAAAGAGGACAGCCACATGCTATTGACTGCTACGTCAACATTTCCATTTGAAGACATAATGCCTCTTGTCAATGCAGGTGAGGTTTTGAACTGTAACATCTTCAATGTAATGTAGCCAGCATTTGTTTGAATAAAATGCGCAGCAACTCGGATTATCTTCTCTGTCCATAATCATTCTCTGTGTTAGCTGCAATAAAGGGCGAAAATGGTGAGCCCACTAGGAAGAGAAGATTGTCACTGTGCCCAATGAATGAAACTAAGGTAAGGAAAATACTGAAGATAGATTGGATATATAACTTTTACAGCAAATATTGTCTCACCGAACAAGGGAGGGGGAAGGGTGAAAGTAAAGGAAAAATTGAAGGACCATGACACACTTTTAAGATTGTTATGGATATAAGATAAAATTGTAATGACTAAAGTTGAGGTGATGTAAAAATAGTAAAATATTGATAGATAATGGTCGGTTGTTAAAAATTTGTGAGTGTATAGTGTTTTTTATTGGAATGTTCAGTAATTATTGGTTTTTTTTCTTTGTTTATAAGATTGAGAAAAAAGTGAGATAAAATGAACAGTTTAATTTCTGAAGATGTTTTGTAAGTTTCTCCAAACATAGTCTAAGAATAATTTTTATTTCCAGGCCCTCTCAAAAATATTTCCCACCATTTTACCATTTTATGACAGGTCTCAGAGAAATGTATACGAAGATATCAGATTTTAAGGCTGACACCACATAATAAGCTGGGAAAGTTTTGAGAGCTTGTTGTCGTAAGTCATAACATTTTTACCTTTTGAGGTCTAACTAAAAAACGTCCGAGTTAGAAACCCACGCCTGGAGATGGGCTCTCTCGTTTAACCAGAACAAGTAAGTATAAAAAAATACCAAATGGGAGTTGAATGAAAACAGTGCCAACAGTTTACAGAAAGCCTAGACATGCATACATTAACCAATGAACACAAAAAACAAGTACACCATTTTTTTTATGCAGAGGGGAAAATTTGAAAACCAGAGATCTAATTATATTTGAGTTGGCATCACCTATTAGCAGTCACAAAAATCAAGTCCAAGTAGTGAAGCTGTTATCTCACAAAAGTCAACAACAAAAGGCTAAAATGAAACAAAAATAAATGTGTATTTGCATTGTTCCTAATGATCCACATTAAAGCAACCTTACCTGTATCAATTCACTGCTGGGTGATACAAGCACAATATGCCTACCATGGAAATTCCGCAACCAGTCATCAACAATTTTCATAACACTTGTCAAAGAAGTAGTGAGTTCTAAATTGCAAAAAGAGTTTCGATATTCAAGGGCCTCGTTTGGGTCTTCATAAACCTTCAGATCCTATAAATGGAAAGAGAAAATTATATGGTGAATCTGCGAACGAGAAAAATCAGCCATTCCATCAAATTACAGGACCTGAATCATTCTTTAACCCTAGAAAAAAAAGGGTACCTGCTTGGAGTATACAATCAGTTTAAAACCCTTAGACCGATCAAAGTCCCGAAAATGTGTCTGATACTCGACAAGAAGCTGATTTGTCCTCATAGTGGGACCAAAAGAAAACTTTGCTTCACGAAGGCCTAGAGTATTGATGGACGAGAAAGGCACCCTGTTGCCACTGTACTGGAGGGAAGACAAATTCGGTGCATCAATGTTCACTTCTTCCAACTTGTAACACTGAATCAAGGCCAAGCTCTTTAATCTGTCACTTAAAATAGTGAGCCTCCTGAGTTTAGCACACTTAAGAAGCACCAATTTCTCGAGCAATGTGGCTTTGGAGAGGAAACCCTGAAGAACAGTATCCATCATTCTATTGTCCTTCAACGTCAAATTTTTCAAACTCCCCAAGCTTTGAAGGTTGATTTCGCACTCCTGATTTTTCTCTGCATGAAACCAAAAGCTTTCGAGGTTTGGCGATGCAATCTCTATGTAACCCACCTTTTCACACTCATGCAGCTCCACCCTTCTCAGCTTCATGAGAGACAGAAAGGATATAACATAAATGCCGTTACAGTGAACTAGCCTCAAATCCTCCATCAAAGGGCAACACTTCTCAAATTGCTGGATCACGGCCTCATTTATCCGCAATGAGCCTTTTATGGAAAGCTCTCTCAAATTAGACATGCCTAATGAAGTGGACCCTAATGATAAGTAGCCTGAGAGCTTTAGAGAAGCTATAGACGTGGACAGTAGCACAGCACTTGGCAAACTAAAATATTTTCCGTTGGTATTCACCTGAATATCCAGCTCTTTCACGTTTTTGTCCACAGCAGCATGAACCCAACATTGCATGCAGTCATTCAACCGGATATCCACGTTATTCACATATAGCCTGAACTTGTCTATGCAAGGAACTGGGTTGAGCCTCATTTCTATAGAACGATTAACATAACCCTTGAACTTCTTTTTCTGCAACTCACGGGCCTTGATCCTCTTGTGTTTTCCAACAGCCTTTGGCACACGAAACCATCTCTCGTCGAATTCAAAGGTGAGGTATGAGTCGAAAGTGTTTTTCCACTTCTTTGAAAGGATGCTAGTCCGGACCACGTCTCTGAAGCATTTGAGGCGTGCAAAAATATGATGGATGATTGGTTCAGGCAATTCGGAAATCCGATCCACATTTGCATCACAGGCCTTGTTATTTCCCCTAGTCCTTCTCCTTTTCCTAAACATATCTGGGTTTGAATCGATACCTGGTTGCCAGTTTTTTCGTTTCTTTGAAATGCCTCCATCACCAGAATCGGCCCCCGTTGGCTGTACCGTAATATTCTTCTGATCATTCGAGGGCCTCGTTCTTGATTTCCTAGTTAAGCTCCGAAGCCAAATTCTATTCCGAAACATGGCTTAACTAGAAAGGATAGCACAAATCTTCTAGGAGAGGACTGGAGAGGAGTACACTAGGCAAACACTAAAGCACAAATTTAACAGGATAAGATAC